TCAAAAAATTTATAAATGAAAAATATATTATATATGTATAAAAGTATTTTAAAATTTATTTATATTTATTGAAAATATACTAAGTAGAAATTTCAAATATTATTAATAAAGCATTAATTATAAAATTAAAAAAAAATATAGTAATATATAAATAAAATATTTAATAATAAATAGAAAAAATATAATAAATTTAGAATCTCTAAATTATAGATATCTGTCAAAAATTCTTCAAAAACTAATTTTATTGTATTTTTTACAATATTTTTAATATTTAAAATATAATAAAAATATAATAAAACTAATTCAAAAAGTTTTTAGCAAATATTTATATATTAAAAATTTAGTCTTTTTGATAATTATATATATTATAAATTAAAAAGTATAACAAATTAATATATTTAAGTATTTAATATTAAATGTAATAGTAATATATAATTTATCATTTAGTTGAATTAAAAAACTTCTACTTAAATAGATAAATTTTATATTTTCTTATAAAATTAAAAGTAAGTAAATAATCAAATTCTTATAAAAAATACTAGTTAAATAATAGTAATCTCTCTCTCTCAATATTATTAAAAAAGCAATAAATAATAAATTAGTATAATATTAGTATTTAATGATTAAAAAATATTTTAAAATAAAATTTATTAAACTTAATGTTATTTATATTATTGAATATTATGATTATTTGAAAAGTAAAAGATATAAGTAACAAATGAATATATAAAAATTATTTATAAAAACTTTTGAAGAATTAGATTAACAAAATATATAAATATATAGATTTATTACAAATTTAATATCAAAAAATGTAAGAATAAGATAATTCAGTTATTTATTAATATTAAATTATTATAATATGTTAATCTAATTAATTTAATATAATTAATTAGAAATAATTATATCTAAATATCTAAAATTTTATTTTATTTTATTTTATATATTAAATGAATTTATATATAAAAGATGTGTATCCAGCTAGCAGAAAGTTATCAGACGTACAAAAATATAGCTTAGTTATTAAGGCTAGATGAGTAATATTTGAAAGTATATAAAGTACTTTTTAGGGAAATTGAGATGCTAACAAAAAAAACTAGATAATTATCATTTTGAGTATAATAGCTTAAAAAAGATAGTAAAAATATTAGAATAAAATTTAAAGTTTTTAGAGACTAAATATCTAGATGAATATGTAGATAGGAAGACTATAATCAACTTAATATAAGAAATAGCTCTCTTGCTAAATATCAAAAAATTGTCAAAAAGTAAGAAGTCTAAAAAGGGTGAAGTTAATCTTGCCACTATAGATTTTTACGAGCTTAGTTTGTTTGAGTCTTTTAAAGATTCTGATTCAGTTAAGATAATTGAAATAAGAGAATGAAAGGTTGTTTCTTATAACTAACAAAAGAAAATATAATCAAAGAAAGTTAAGATTCTTTGATCAGGATGAAAGCTTTCTAATATTTTATATCAAAATTCTGAAAAAATCACTAAATAATTAGCTAATCTTCCATAGTACTAAAGGTATAAGGATATTAAATTTGAATTTTTTTTGAATAAAGATATACTATAATAAATAATTAATATATTATGAAAAATGAAAGTCATTTTGAAGAGAGACAATCCTTTGTAAAGTTAATATACAAGTTATCAAGATCTGATAATCTATCATCAGAAAAGAAATAAAGATAACAATCAAGTTATTAAGACTTAAAAATAAATATAATATATCTTATTCTCTTCTTTTTCAACCATATAATATATCACATATTTTAATAAGTTTTTTACTTCACAAACTCTACAAGTTTTGCAAAAATAATATATAGAAAGAAGAAATAAGTCCTGAATTATCCAAAAGAACTAATAGAATTCTTGAACATCAGTTCATTCAGGAATTATCATCTGACTATCAGAAATATGCCATATTATATGAGTCAGAATTTACGTTAGATGATCTTTTTAGGACAGATTCTTTAGTAAAAAGATTAATTACTTATGAAGTACTGCTTAAAAGTAAGATCTAACACTTCTAATCTGAATCAGTAAGTGTCAACTAAGAATATTGTATTTCACATTTTTTTCATTTAAAGATATAACATATAATACAGATTATTTATGACACATTCACAAATTTTTATTATATCAAAACTATTAGAACAGATTTTACATCTTTAGCGATAGATAAATCTCTTTATTTTATTCTATTTGTTAGTCAATTGTAGTATAGATATGGTATTCCTATTCTGTAAAAATGTAGTGAGCACTCTCAAATGAAAAAATTTATAAAAATAGTATAAGAGGAACAAAAGTTAGTTTATTATTTGTCTAGAAATTTCAACTTTTAGATAAAAATTCAAAAACATTGCAAGTGTGTTTCCAAATATAGTTCATTTAGATTTTTAATTATAGTACAGAATTTAGTGATAAGACACTAAAATGAATAACAAAATTATACCTCAATTTGAAGTATTTCAATTTGCAAAAGGGTGAGAATAAAGACTGTAATATTAGAATAATAACTGATGTTAGTCTATTGATAATCATACTGAGATACTATAAATTAGAATATCTTAATATCTCTAACTACACAATGATTACTGATAAAACTATTAATACAATTGCTAGTTCATACCTTAGTTTAAAATATCTTGATATTATAATATCAGTAAAGAAGCTATATATCAGCTTATTCTAAATATTTATGTTAGAATTTTGTGGGTATATTATTTTATTATATTAGTGTAATTAATAAATATCTTAGTTAATACGATATTTGTGAATTAGCTGAATTAGAGCAAAAGATAAGACGTCACAATCTTGCTAATAATCTGAATTCAGTCCCTTTTCTGACTTGAAAAATTTTTTCTGCTTTAGTATCAGCTTTTAATAACTTACTAATTGATTAGACTGAATGATGATATACATTTTAGGATACCAAATTATTCCTCAATACCTATGAATATGCTTATTTTTTTGCTAGGTTATATCACATATATCTTGTACAATAAAAAAATATAGATTAGCTAATATGTTCTAGACATGGGTACTGACTAACACTAGATGAGTTTTTGATAAATATTTATGCAATTGTTAAAGAGTGACCTTCAGAAATAATGGTAGTTCCTCTCTAGTAAAATAAAACATTTTTACTTTCTTATCCATGAATTTCTGTATTAATACACTTGAAATATCTTTTAAGAGACTGTGAAATTCTCAAACTTTTAGAGATATACTTTTATATTTTTATCAACTTCTTTCAAATACATAAGCAAATTAAAAATTTCTCTAAATAAAATATCTGTAGAAGTTTTATTGCTTTAAAATGTCTCTTTTAAAATGAAATTACTATTAATGCTAAGATCATTCTATATTGGTATTATTTTTTTATCAAATTTATCAATAATTTATATGAATTAACAAGTATTTTTCCTTCGAGCATAGGCTCTACCAAAGATGCTAAAGGCTGTTTTATAGTGTTTACTTAAAGAAAAATGACCATAGTGACATTTTCTTTAAAGAAAAATAACCTCAATGACATTTTCTTTGAAGAAAAATAGCCTCAGTGACGTTTTCTTTAAAGAAAAATAGCAGATACATTGCTGATTGATTTGCATTACTATTAATATTGAGTTTTTTTAGCTTAGCGCTCTTAAATAGCTATTATATCCTTTTTTTTATATAAAAGCACTTTATATAACTGATTAAGTGTTTCAGAATTATTATTTGTTATGATTGCTATAATAAAATAATATATTTAATGTAGAAAATTTTGAGTTCAGAATACTAATAATCATCAACTCGAGATATTAATTATTAATCTAAAAGAATTTGCTAGATAATTAAATAAAATATACTAAAAGATATAGCTAAAAAATCGAAAAATAACAAGATAATGGGTAAGTTCACCACTAACCCTACGTAGTATTTATCATTATATAATCTGATTAAATATAAATACATATATGATAAGATAACTGATTTTATCACTATTAAGAACATAAAATAGAATAGAGTTATAGGCATGTTCAATTACCCTAAATTGCGTTAATATTTAGGAGTAATAAAACTGAACTGATCAAATAGTCTAGAATAATTATTAATAATTAGATCTACCCTAGCTAGTCAAGAGCTGTGATCACTAGTTCATAAGATTTTTACTGAGTTACAGATTATGTAACAAAAAATAAGATAATCAGCAGTCAGCTCTTATGTGACATATTAATTTCGCAAATAATGAAAAAAAAAGAAATATTAACCTTTGTTCTTTATTTTTTCCTGAACAAACATGAGAAAAATGTGAAAGAGGATCTAATTGTAACACAAGACTTACTCTATAAGTTAATAATACTAACAAAAGCATATGTTATGAAGAATTAAGAGACTCACAATAAGATCATTAAGTGTAAGACTAACTATGTCTTTCTTCAGTAGATCTTTATGTAAAAAGATATAAAAATTTCACCCTCCTTCAAAATAAATTTTTTGGGAGAATAATCAAACTAATAAGGTTAATTTTTTTTTGAATATAGTAAGAAAAAAAGGATATAAAGCATGTAATGGTATTTAGAAGTTTAGCTAACTTTCCTGTAAAAAACTTTCTCAAAGAAAATAATCTAAAATAAGATATGTATATACCAAAAATCATGCTTATATGTAGAGTTCTGAATAAGTCGAGTTGAATCAAGTTTAAAGATCAACTTTATTTGATTCATTTTTTTGTGTTAAGTCAAATCAAATTTATTTTATAAAATCTTTCAACTTGATTTAATTCGAGTTATATAAATTTTAAACTCGACTCAATTTGACTTGACTTGAGTTTAACTCAACTTGATTTTGACTTGAATTTATTCAAGTTGAGTCAAGTTCAAATCAAGTTTTGAGTCAATTTTAAATTAATTTATAAATATTTAATATAAATAAATTTATACTCACCCTTATTAGTGAAAATGAAAGATTGCTCCTAAAAAAAAGAAAGTAAATTAAATAAAAAAATAAAAATAAATTAAAAAATTAAATAAAAAATTAAAAAACAAAATCAAAAAAAAATTTAAAAGAATAAAAAAGAAAAAATCAGGAGAAAGGGAGGAGAAAGAGAAAGATAAATTAAAAAACAAAGTCAAAAAGATTAGAGAAAAGAAAGGAAAAAAAAAAAAATAAATTAAAACAAAAACAAAATCAAAAAGTTAAATTAAAATAGGAAAAAATTAAAAAACGAAAGCAAAACTGAAAAAAATTAAAAAAAAATTAAAAAAACAAAAAGCAAATTTGAAAAAAAAGTTAAAAAAAAAAAGAAAAGAAAAGATTAGAGGGAAGGAAAAAGATAAAATAATAAAAATTAAAAAAAAATTAAAAAACAATCAAAAAAAAAATAAAAAATAAAAAAAAGATCTCAGTGAAGGGAGGAAAAAAAAAATAATAAAAATAAAAAAATTAAAAAAACAAGCAAATTTGAAAAAAATGTTAAAAAAAAAAAGAAAAGAAAAGAATGTGGAGAAGGAGTGGAAGAGGGAGAAGAAAGAGGAAAAATAAAATAAAAAATTAAAAAAAAATTAAAAAACAAGTAAATTTGAAAAAAAAGTTAAAAAAAAAAGAAAAGATAAGATTAGAAGGAGAGGGAGAAAAAAATAAAATAAAATAAAAAAAAACAAAAAAAAATTAAAAAACAAATAAATTCAAATAAAAAGTTAAAAAAAAGAAAAAAAAAATCTTGAAAAAGAAGGGAAATAAAATAATAAAAATAAAAAAATTAAAAAACAAGCAAAATCGAAAAAAAAAGTTAAAAAAAAAAAAGAAAAAAAAATTTCAGAAGAAAAAATAAAATAATAAAAATAAAAAAAAAAATTAAAAAATAAAAAGATAAAATTAAATCAAAATAAAAAAAAATAATAGAAAAAGATTAAAAAAAAATTAAATAAATAAAAATTAAAAATATTATTTCAAATCAACTCAATTTGATTTAAATTTGACTCAGCTTATCTGACTCGTGAGTTAACTCAACTTGTCTGAAACTTTATTAGAGTTTTAATTGAGTCAAGTTGAATTGAGTTTAAAGATCAACTCTCTTCAACTCGTTTTTTCAAGTCAAGTCAAGTTAAATTTATTTTATAAAATTTTTCAACTTGACTTGATTCAAGTTACATAATTTTTAAATTTAACTCAATTTAACTCAACTCAAGTTTAACTTAACTCGATTTTAACTTGAATTTATTTGAGTTGAGTCAAATTCAAATTTATTTAAATATGAAAAAATTTATTTTTATATGATATTATAAATTTTATATATTATTTTATTTAAATCAAAATCATAAAAAAAATAAAAACAAAATAAAAAAACACAAAATAATAAAATTTTATTTTTTCTTTAAAATAGTTTGCTATTAAGATTTAAGATACATACACACTCTAATTATTTCTGCTGATAAATTACATCTTTTTTGTGTAATTAATTCAGTTCTTTTAGAAAATGCTCTTTCTATCAGAATACTAGTAGCTTAAAAATAAAAATAAATTAGATTGATTAAAAATTAAAATTATAAAATTTTAAATTTATTTACCTAAAATAACTAAAAAATCTCTTGCCATTTTTGCTAAATTAGGATATTGCAATTCATTTAACTAAAAAAAAATAATTAATAAGCTTAAAAATAATATGAAATTATTAATAAAATATATTACTTACTTTCTACCATTATAATAAATTAATCTTTGAAGATGCAATTAGAGCATTAAGATAATGCTCTATTTCATTAATATTTTCTACATATGTTCTTTTATATTTATGATTTAATAAATCATCATCTTCTTCAGAACTTTCATTTAGATTTTCTAAATCTATCATTGATGATACATAATGCATATTGAAATAAGAAGTAAAAATTTTATATAATTCCTCAATAAAATTTACTTCCTAATGATTATTAATATAATATAATAATTTTAATCATAGATCAAGTACTATAAATTAATAATAATAAATTAATAATTTATAAATTAAAATTAATAAATAAAATAAATAAAACTTAC